ACAATGATTGGTACTTAGCTTTGGCTGGTGATGGGTGTAGTCTTAATGGTTATACTCAGAGCATCAGGAAGTCAATCAAAGCTGAGGAATGTCACTGGTCTCAACTTACCCTGTGAAAATAACAATTACACTTTGGCTGTAGTCAATAACAAGTAGCAGATACATGCAATGAAACTGAATGACCAAAAATGAAAGTAATTGTTTAGCTAAATCTGTATTCATCAAGCTCAAAATCTTTGTGATTTCCAAATGAATGACTCTTACAAGAATAACTTTACATTTCTTTAAAACCAAAAAAGCGATTGCCCTAATCCAGCCAACCTGGAATATGATAACAGTTTGGCAGGTTTGAGCCTAATGACATGCTGCTCAGATAACAACTCAGAAATTTAAACCAAGGTCCCTACAAGAAATGAATTCAGATTCTAGTTAGATCATTTATCTAATCAAATGTCCTTCGGTCTCAAGATATGATGAACCAGCTCTGAGCTGCATTCTTCTGTACGTATTATCTTTTTGTGTAAAGCTGGTCTGATATTATGTGGATTGTTTTTGTTTTGTTACCAGGGACATCCAGCAGGAAAGTCTGAAAGGAGTGCATTCTCACTGGAGGCACAGCTTCTCCTTTGTCAACAACCACTACTTATTCCTGGCCTGTTTCTTCATTGTGTTTTTGTCTATTATGCTGTACTTACTGCGACTCCGACGTATTCATCGGCGTGCAGCTCAGCGCAGCACCCCCTCCTCTGTACCATGGTTGGAAGAGGGCCTTGGCTCGCCAGCGCTCCCAATCAACCTCTAAACTTTGGAGAGCGTAAAGTTTGAACAGCGTATCTCACTTTCCAAAAACCAACATTCTCTCCTTTTCTGTCTTAGGCCATCTGCTTGTTCTCTGAATATTTAAAGGCTGCTCCCCCACAAAATATGTGTTGAGATGGTACTGAGATCTGTGCAAATGACACAAATCTTACAGGAGTCTTCAGGTTTCCTGAAGCAATATTTGTGTTTAAGTTATTTTGTTTCATCTTTTTTTAGAACTCATATTGTTGCCGCCACACTTTGTCAAATTCAAATGGCAGCTGCCTCCAAGCGTCCTCCATTTTCTTTCTATAAAAGACAAACACAACGGTACATTTCTCTCTCGGTAATCCATACCCTAATATTTATTTGGTCTACATGCTGAATTTGACAAAGCTTAAGAAAAACATACCATGGTGGCATTTTATTATTTTTTTTATGTGTGAGTATTTGCCTTTCTTTATGCCTTTTTATATGTGCATGAACACACCTTTTTTTGTTATCATAGTTGTTGGATGGAATAAGCACTCTACAGAAACCTCAAATGCAATATGATTTATAATTAGTAGAAGGAGCACTTTTTCAATGCAGTTGAGATGCACGTCCCAGCTGGAATGGTCTGTTTTTTTTTTTTATGTGTGTATGTACGTCTTTCCATCTCATATTTATATTGTGAGACAAGTAGCCTTTAACAGCTATACTAGTGCAATACATGTCTTGTCACTGTTGGGAGGGTCTTCAAAATTCATCTGCCCATTTTTCTACATTATCAATCTCTCTTTAAGGCCCTGCTGAAATTCTCGAGTTGGGTTGTCTGACTGTTATGTTGGATACCGGTACGTATATTTATGTTGGGCTTCATTTTCAGAAGCTGTCATATCACTGCTGTGAGGGGGCGGGGGGGTCAATGAGAGCACATGCCCTATTATTTATATGAAGATGGTCTAATGAAATGTTTTCACAGATGAATGTGAAATAAATGTTGTGACATTGCAATTCAGTAATAAAGGTTTTATTGTAAAAAGTATCTGTTTATTTCACAAGCAGATCAGAATGAATATGTAGAGTCTATATTTCAACTACGTGAATTTGAAGGCTATGATTTGTCGGTTTAAAGCGAATGCTGACCTTTTAATGCAATAATATAGCCGCACGTTATCTGAGGGTTATCAGCTGTGGGGAAAACATGGAATGATGAGTGAATGTTTTGAGTGTGTTTCCCATAACTTCTAAGAGAAATTTCAATTTGTGTATTCATGACAGTATGTAAAGTGACCACTGCATTACTCTATTCAAAATAAAATTCAAAGACGGCCATGTGATGTGTGGGGAGAGGGACGTGATAACACTGGATGTACACACAGACTGCAGTCTCCACTAGGTGGTATTTGTACCCTTCTTTCATTACGACTTCAACAGTAAAACAGAACAATTCATTGTTGCACTTGCTGACTGACACTTGGAATATGTGTTCATGCCCACAGTCTCTATATTTCAAAATGTAACATATCCGATATTTGCCTTTTCTGTTTAAAACCTTCAGACTGAATATTGCCTGTGTGTAACTCACTTTTACAGCTAAGCCTTTTGACAGAAACTGACGTGATTCCCCGCAATAACAATCTGTGCACAGTTGAACTTCAGCTGCTGATACTTTTTCTGTTTTTTCCTGTGGCTTTGTCAGCTCTCTGGTTTCGAGCCTTCACCATGGAAATCATTGTAGTAAGTAGTTCTGGCATTAAAAGGGAATGTGTCATCAGATAAGGAGACGTGTAACTGACACCACAGACCAAGTCAAAAGTGAAACACCTCAAACTAATCCAGAGCTTTCTTGGCTGCAAGAAACAGTTAACTCTAGGACTTGTGTGTGACACAAATTTTATACAGAAGAGGAAGGTTTAACAATCCCATCCCATGCATTGTGTCATATAACGTATAATAAAGTGGTGGTCACAGACAGTGCACGGTTTACACAGTTCAGTCTTACAGCTGCGGTCCCCCTACTGAGCATGTGAATATCAGCTGGAACAACAATGCCTGAACAAGTGGCTCTTTAAGATGTCAGGCTGCTATAATGCTGAGTCATTGATATGTCACCATGCTTGGCTAACACACCCACAGTGGCACTGCAGTGAGCTCCGTGTGTAGAGCTTATGTTTCAGCCAACCTGACAGTACAGTAGCAACGGATAGTATAATAGATCGAACCAAACACATTCCTGTAGATATAAGTAATGCTGTGTGCTTTGCTTCAATAGAATAAAATAATTAATGAATCAAATACTCCGACCAAAACAGGAAGAAACAAATAGTGGAAGAAACAAATGCTCAGATCTGTGTCTGTGGTGTCGAAAGGTGAGTGGATTGACAGAGAACCTGTGAATCTTAGGTGTACTCAGCTGAATCAGGTGACATCCTGAACACAAAATGGGATCCAGTTGAATGTGAAATTTAAGCTTCGGGCTTGCAACAAGAGACAGGAAGACACAGCCAAAAAAAACCAAACACACAAACAAAAAAAACCATACTGTAAATAATTAAAAATAAAAGATGTAATCAGAAAAATGTATACACAATAATTTAGCCTCATTAGGGTAATTAGTCTCAAAGGCTCATTGAAGTAATTTAGCTGTATGGAAACTATGGAAGTGTGACAACAATGTCATACTTTTAATCCATGAGCTGCAACTGAAGCATGGATGTGGTGTATTGTTTGCAAAGAGGCTTGTGTCTTCACTCTAGGCTATTTCATATGACTGTTCACATGATAGGAAATAGGGGTGAAGTGTGCAGATCAGTATGCTCACATATATCAGGGCTGCAGGTGAGGGGGTTAAATGTGAGCTCATTTCATCTTTAAAAAGGTCTCAAAGCGCTAATTTACTCCAACGTATATGATCAGTTACTAAAATATAAAGCAGAAATATTAAATAATCCAACAACATGGACAAGAGCTAGATTTGGTTTACAGACTGATCTGCTGTCCTTTTTCATTTTTTTTTAAGTTTAAAGAGTTTCTTCTTTGTTTACCATGGAGATCTTTCAGCCTCAGTTGCTGAAGACATTTTTTTTTTACCAATCAGTAAATTGGATAATTGCTAAAGTGAAAGGTGCTTGACCTATGGTTCCACCCAAAATATCACTCATAGTTTTAAAGGCCTATTCCACACAAAGAGTACCAAAACTAACAAATTATGGTTTAAAGATTTATTCAAGCCAAAATACAACTTTTGTCCAAGTACTTACAGTTTTATTCCTACCAAATAGTACTTTATCTAAAAAAAAAAACGTATTGATTTTAAATTATAAAGCTTTATTATAGTCCATGAAGACTAGCATGGTTTGCTTTTCACACTTTGGCAACCTAACAGTAATTTTGCTGTTCAACTGCAGACGTCAGAACAGTTTTTATTGTTAAACGACTCAAATTTGGTTTACATGCATTACTCACACTTTTCCATTTTGGCCAAAAATGTGGTCTTTGTCTAAATATAAGATAAGAAATGCTAAAACTTTGTTAGTCTTTAAGGGAATTCTACTTACATATACATCGTATTAGTAGATGACACTGTTGTGAAAAACAAGGGCTGTAAAAATGTGGTCCTACAGCTGCAGTCCCTAAAACGCAGCCTTCTCTTCTGCAGCTACATGCTACGCAGAAATTAATATTTTAAGTTCAATCAACAAGAAATGCAAAACTCATATATTTAAATGAAGCATGCTAGAAAAGATGCATTTATTCGACTAAATTCCTTGAAGATGTTTTAAAGTGTGTATACTGTAGCAGATTTTGCAGTTTTTGTTGAAATATTTAAATATTTCTTCCAGGATGTGGCACAACCACATTCAGTGTGAAGAAACCACAAGCTGTAGATGTTTTTCTTATCTTAAAGGAGAGTTTGACAATTTCTCTCCCCTATTATTGAACACATGCTGACTGATAAGGACACCACTCCTACTTATCTACTCAAGCAGGACTCTCTGATTACACTTTTGTCAAACCCATTCAAAAACTTCTGCAGGGAAGCAGCATGGATGCACAAATTGTAACAGCGAGGTTTTTGAGTGCCAGATGAATCTAGCATGGAAACTTCTCATTGGCTGCCTCAGACTGATAGCCCGCCCCATTGCCCAGTACCCGTGACGCGATTGGTCCATGTTCACCTGAGCCACGCCCCCTGCCAGCTAACGTCACATGGGCGCTGGAACTCCAGTAAGTAGTGATGTTGTGGTTATCCATGCCGCCGATACATCTCTGAGTGTTATCTGCTACGGAAGACCGCCTGGGAGAGCTCACCACGCATGGAGTTGAGCTCGGAGCGTGTGGTGGCAACGCTGGAGATGTCGCAGGTTACGAGCAAAGACGACGAGCCGTTTAATAGCGACGGAGACTACGAGAGCTTGCCACCTCATGTCTCAGTGACGACCCACATGACAGCAGGAGCTGTGGCTGGCATACTGGAGCACACGGTGATGTACCCCGTGGACTCTGTCAAGGTAACGCACACAGAGGGAGCTGAGCAGTCGGGCACACTTGTTTTTCCTCCACGGCTCATTCACTAACTAGCTACGGGGCTCTGCTAACTGTACAGGCGCCCTGCTATCGCTGGCTAACGAGCGTTAGCTATAAAAATCTGCCCATCCATAGTTAGCCTCTGTGTTAGCTAATTCAAGCACGGCAGCCTGCCACGACCAGCAGACTGAACAAACTAGTTCAGCAGGCTAGCACAACGTGAATTAGACCTAAAACACAACGTGTCCGGTAAAACCAAGCAAATAGTAACGGCTTTCCTGGGTTTCGCCTCTTTTTCGACGTAACTGTGAACTTTGCTAACACCGCGAGCTCACTCACTCAACGCCCAGTGTAACCTTAATTTACCCCGGGCACTTATTAACAAGGTTAGGGCAAAGTTATCTTCATTAATCATGAGGTCGTTTGTCATATGTAAACAGGTTTCGATACTATTGTGTTTTTGTTTTTTCCCCCTCGGACTTACGTGTTTTTTTCAGCCAGTAATGATAAATGTTACTTAAGTTTTCCTGTTTCTGACTCAGGCAAACTGAAGGTCATGTATATGGTTTGGAGGTAATCAAACTTCCTTGAAAATTACAATTATATTTATTACCACAACGTTACAGCCAGTTTTAAAGTGTAAATAATAACTTGTGCTGTTAGAAAGTAAACTTTTGTAGCCAACAATGGATGCTCTAACAATATTTTCAAAAATTAAATGTTTCCCTGTTCGGTTCAATAGGAAATCACTACTTAAAAGTCCAGGATCAAATCAGCACCATGTGTCTAAATGATCTCTATTCAAATGCCCCATTTTCCTCATGAACAGGCTCCACACAGTTATTATCTTAACTGGATCAAGTCTATCTTTGTCACTGTATTTATTGACACAATAAAATGAATACTACAACCACGAACAAAGGGCATGCACGGTACATATGACAAGGAAATCAACTACAGTAAATGAGCCAGTGACCGTAAGTGGTGATGTAACTGTGTTGCAAATAAAAAGCAAGTATAGAAAATGTACAGTTAGTGAGGGGGTAGTTTTTTTCTGTTCCTCCTTGTGACCAACAAATGCAGGACACAGTAGAGCTGAAACAATAAGTAAGTTAATCAATCAGTCAAACATGATGAAATGAATTTGCAACTGTTTAGACAAACAGTATTGTCCAAAAGCCATTTGTCCAAACCTCACTGCAGTCATTATAAACTCAGGATAGTTTGGTTTTGGCCTGGAGATCAGACATTGTTTTGACATTTTCCGTTCACTAAATAATACTTTTTTTTTTTTTTTTTGCTACTAATGCACTTTTATTACTCATGTAATAAAAAGTCAAATTCTGGTTATTTGTGAGGAAGTCTAGGCAGCATACTATAATCTTCTGAGCTCAGTCATACTCCACTAGACAAAGAAAGGACAAATTTTGATTTTGAAATTTTGATTAAATATCTGTCACTTCTGCTCTGTTACAAGGTATTTTCCAAGTGCAGTGTTTTTAGCTTTGTGTAAAAAGAAAACCAATGAAAGTTAATCCTGGTGCAACATCCACATCCATAATAGAGGCTCACATTATTGAATTGTTGCTTTGACGCTACGGTGTCGAGGAAATCTGTCCTGGTTGTTTCAAACGTAGAGGCAATCATAGAGTACACAGGTAGTGATTGTGAATTTCCAGTTGTTTGACCAGCTTTAATAGAGAAAATACCTGGCAGGGGTCACTTGCGTTCATAAACGGAGGAACCCTGCCAGCACTTTTTATGTCTAGTGTTTGTCAAATGAAGGCCAAATTTGCTCACAAATACCATCTTGAAGTTAAAGCCTGTTGGTGTGTGTGACTGTGTAGTAATTAAGTATAATTACTGGCTAGTTTTGAGCGTGTTAAAAATTAGCATGTGTCTCCAAAGTAAATGGCCAACTGTTGGTCTGAGGGGGAACTTTGCCCCTGAAATCCTCTCTTATGCTCAGCTTTTGTTCTCTAACAATGTAGCATTGTTTTGATATTTAAGCATGCATCAGTAATCTTGACCTAGCTCAGACAACTTCATAATATAATGTCAAAAAACTAATAATATCCTCTTTGCTTCAGTGTCATAATCTTGACCTTTTTCCATATTGACTCATGGGCTATTACCCAAACCACTGTTGCCATTTCCTCTTAAGGTTTCTAAGTTTTCACAAGCACCTTCCAGCTGTAGATGAGGTGTCCATTCAGTTTGATGTGTGCAAATCTAGACTTTAGACAGTTTTGAAATTGTGTAGAAGCTAAACTAACAAAAGTATAAAACATGGTTGTAATTTTGTTCTATTTACTTTGGAACACATGAAGGAAAAACAGTGCATCTAAGCATCAGAATACGATGTGTTTGTTTACGGTTCATAAATTAGGAAGCTGTTTTTGATAAAGTAAAGGATTAGTTCTCAAATCAATCTTGTGATGTGTTCACACAATGTGTGTTGCGAGTAAAGGATTGGTGTGCTGATTTTTGAATGTCAGAGTTCAGTGGCTGGTGGCAACAGTCCACTCACTGTGATGTTTCAGACTCGGTAAAAAGTGAGACAGATCTAGGACTCGGGGAGTAGCCTGTGTTAATGCTAGGAGGGGTATCTTATCACTGTCGCACACATTTGGAATCGGCCTTGTTCAGCGAAAGGGTGTGTGTAAGCAAATGCTCTTCTGTAGAGTTGATTAGTCAACGGCCATAGAAGCAGAACTGAGAGATCTAAATTAGAAAGATAGGACACAGTGTAATGTAATAGATAGGACTGTTTCCTTCAGCATGTGTAAATGGTTACGCTGGTGTTTGCTGCTGTGACAGTGAGGTCGAAGCCATGTATACCTTGTAGGGCTGAATAATGTGGGTAAAATATCTAATTGCAATCATTCTGACAGTTATTATGACCTGATTCGTGACGTATTTAAAAGTCAAGTTTCCGTTCAGAATCGTATGTGTCTTAAACATAAAACACGTGATGGAACATTACCATGAGACCATTAAAAGTGTGACTGTCGCACAAAGGGAAAGGTTTGAATTTGTCAAAGCATTGACATGACCGTTCAAACACTCGGTCGGACGTACTGTGAAATGCGCGAGGTGTGGCTGTTACATAACGAGACAGGGCTTATGTAGTTACAGAATGCATGCCTGAACCACGTCATATACATTCATCGATGGGCAAGCATAAACAGCTTCTGAGAGTTTCAATTTGCTCGTATTAAATACAATTTTGAAGCACAGCATTAGTCTCTTTTTTTTAATGGCTGCACCTCGTCTATCCTAGCCGGCAGCCTTTCATATTTGCCAATAGCATTGTTTTAAATTGTGATTTTAAATTGAAATTAAATAATTGCTCAGCAGTAATGCCATGTATACAATGTATTTGAAGGTTGAAAACAAATGCAACTGTAAAAATACTTGTCATTATTTGTTTTATAAATCAACAACAGCTGAAAACCTAATTATAATCCAACCTGATCTTGTTCTAAAGTTAATGCTGAAGTACTGGGCTTTCTTCTCACTGCATTGTCTGTGTTACAGTAGAATTTTTAAAACTCTCCTGCCAGGTCCACAGAAAAGAAGCATCTTTTACATTCATACTTTCTCACTGTAACTGGACTGGCCAACACCAACATCAACATTTGAAAACGAAAACTTATGAAAGGTCTACTGACCGACAGCTGTGAATGATTGAAAAAGAAAAGTGTTTAGTAGTCAGTGCTGTGATGTTTGACCAGTTGTTTAACAAGTAGTACTTCCCAAAATTAACACCTTTTTAGTTGATAACTTTAACCATCTCGTCATTTCTATGAGTTATCTCTGAGTTTTAGTTCCTGTAGAAATGGCTGGGTTGCATAGGAGATGTATTTTAACATCCCACTACAAAAAGTTGCAGCTGTTGGGTACAGCTAGAACTGTTACCCAGCATAACTTAAGCTTTAGAAGTTATGTAGAAAACATTATACTGTAGTTTTTCTTCTGTTTTATGGGTCAAAGACCTCGCTAAGCCTCACCTGCTGAGATGTGAATCTAAAATTCAAATTAAGGCCCCAGTCTTGAGCAGAACAGTGCGACTTGTAGCGCACAAATGCCGCCACACAAACCTAAATTCTAAACTGTGCTGCCAAGTTCCGTGTGCCCCAAGTTCCCAAATCTGTATCCAGCGGAAATGTAAGTGATATTTTATTGTCAAACCAAAGGAAGGAAACACAGGGGAACATGTTGAGGAAGATAGACTCGGCGTATCTCCTGAGACAGCCCCAGATCTCCTCGCAAATAAAAACATGCTTTGTGTTGTCCAGATAACTTGGCATGGTGGAATAAAACAAAGAGCTGCCACAGCCTCCCACACCAGCCTGGGAGAGACACACATCACTCAGACAGGAGCTCGCTACTGCCAAGAGCACTTAGTGTCAGAACAATGTGACAGCGTTACAAGGAACAGTATATCAAAAAATCATGATTTGGCCTCCAGCAGGTGCCCACTTTAAAGCAACTCACAGTCTCAGTAATGCATTCATGCTGAGTCCTCACTCGGATACTGTAGCTGTCATCATGTCACCAAACTGGAGCATATGATAAGTAATGGTTAAGATTTACATCTTTATCTTTTCAGACGAGGATGCAGAGCCTGCAGCCGGATCCAAATGCACAGTACAGGAGCGTGTATGAGGCTCTGAAAAGGATCGTCCGGACAGAGGGGATCTTCAGGCCGCTGAGGGGCCTCAACATCACCATGATGGGAGCAGGGCCCGCCCATGCGCTCTACTTCGCCTGCTACGAACGGGTTAAACGCTCACTAAGTGACGTCTTTCAGAGTGGAGGGAACAGCCATTTAGCCAATGGTATGAGTTTCCATGTCTCAACACAAATCACGAGGACGTCACTGTAAGCGATTTTACAGTAGACTAAACAGTATGGCCTTGAGGAGTCTACTTGGGATAAATCTCATTGGTTCCACATCTTGTTTACACGTGCATATTGCAAACATGAAAAATCTACATATGGTGTCTGTGATGTCATTATAAACTAGTGCTTTTTTTTTTTTTTTTGTAGGTAAATAGCAAGAAAAAATGTACTTCAGCACAACCTCTACTGAAGTGTTTCTCATAATGTAAAAAATGATTTTAAGCATTGTTCCAGACTTTAGATTCAACAAGATCTGTTTGTTTTAACAGGTGTGGCAGGTAGCGTGGCCACTGTTCTCCATGATGCCATCATGAATCCAGCTGAAGGTAAGTAAAGCATTTCATAGAAGTTACTTTTTTCTTTAAAGCTGCAGTAGGCAGACATTTAGAAAAAATAAGAACTAAACCACAAAACAGTATTTTACAATATGCAGCTCCTCCCTCTCAGCTGTCTGTTCAAAGCCCCACACACCATACGAGCACCTGCTTCAAAGATGGTCGAGCTCAAAGTCAACTTTGTGGCTTTGATTCAAACCCCATTCTCCCGAGTGATAATCTTCCATCAAACCCACTGCACCACCACATCCTGTCCCACTGTGGACTTTGCTGCGATTTGTGCTATCTCATGTGATCAGTGCTAAGCCCTGTGATTGGCTGAAATCACCCATTACAGATGAGATTTTCTAAGGCCTGAGCACAGAGCCAGGAGAATAATATCTAGTTGTTCTTTTTATCTACAAACAAATCAAAAAAAGACCAAAAACCAAAAACAAAAGCTGTGTTCAAATTAGATTGATTTCTCATATCATGTCTAGGACTGACTGTGAGCACTGTTATTTGTAAGTGATCAGATCAAATTTATCTGAATGGATTCCTGCGGTAGCAACAACATTGGCATCAGGACCTGCGTAGATATGCTGGTGACGTAACTTTTAAATGTAGAAATATTTTTCAATAAATTATACATTGTATACAAACCTCTCCCTAAAGGGCCGTCACAGTTTATATCAGCATCTGTCCACAGACTGTTATCCTCCAGGTAGCAGCAGCATAGAGTCTAATGAGCACTTCACACGTCATGAGTTGCATTGCGAGGGCTGCAGATGACACATTAAAGTGCACTTTGAGCCCCAGAGCGTACAGACTGTGACGCATCTGTAGAAGTTTGATTTAAAGCGTGTTGTGCCAAATGTGGTTTAAATCAAATTTGCAAAAATCGCACTTGTGGGTTTTTTTGTTGTCCACATGTTGAGAAGTCAGTCTACATACAGTCTGGTTACACCCAATAATGAATTGGGGCTGGAAGCTTTAATGGGGCCAAATGGATCCTACCAGCAAGAATTACCTGTGTGTCATACATACTGTATTCCTCTTAGCCATGGTGCTTCATTGTTGTACATCAACATCAGTGAACCACTCTGCTCGGCTGGATGGAGTTTACACTGTACGCTTTTGCATACACCATCCTGCTACAGTAAATGCACACGAGTGCACCTAAAAACTGTAGTGCATACCTGTTGTTAAAAAATGTTCCTAGGATCATTCAGAAGTCCTTTGTCCAATTGCTGTTAATTTTTATTCTTTGATCTCTTGTTTAATGATGATAAGGAGTAACTATCTGGTTTGCATTTAAAACCCATTTAAAAACACCAGTTATTTTTGTGTGATCATATTTTTTGGCCTAACAAATCACTCCCAATATTGTCTTTTTTAAAAATAATATTTGTCTTTTTTCTTTGCAAAGTATGGAGAATACATGTAATGAAAACATGGTAACGCACTCCCTGGTTTCCCTTCTTTGTTTAGTGGTAAAGCAGAGGATGCAAATGTACAACTCTCCATATCGGGGACTTTGGGATTGTGTTCGAACAGTCACGCGCACCGAAGGTATTGGAGCCTTCTACCGCAGCTACAGCACACAGCTGACCATGAACATCCCCTTCCAGGCCGTTCACTTCATCACCTACGAACTGATGCAGGAGCAGCTGAACCCCCACAGACATTACCACCCGGGCAGCCACATAGTGTCGGGAGCAGCTGCAGGAGCCGTTTCCGCCGCAATAACCACTCCACTCGATGTGTGTAAAACGCTGCTCAACACGCAGGAGAACGTAGCGCTCAACTCCGTGAACATCAGCGGCCACCTATCGGGAATGGCCAACGCCTTCAGGACAGTGTACCGGGTCGGTGGTCTGCCGGCCTTCTTCAAAGGGGTCCAGGCTCGGGTTATATACCAGATGCCCTCCACTGCCATCGCCTGGTCAGTGTATGAGTTCTTCAAGTACTTCCTGACAAAGCAGCAGCTGGAACAAGAGGCAGGACCTCGCCCGCTGTAATGGAAACTACGTCAGAGCCACACATACCTGGACTGACGGAAGAACGCTACAACCTTAAGGTGTGTGAGCTCAGTTTTTTTTTTTTTTTTCTTTCTTCCGTGTGCTGTTGAGGAAATCACGCCAGTTAATATCTCACAAGGAAGTCACCATGGCGGAGGTGTGGCACAGAATGCCACTCCTCATTGTTCATTTTATCAGCATGTGTTTGTCACTTGGGATGATGTTGCGCAACCACGATATGCAACAGAGATGACTATGCTCTTAAAAGGACTGATCCTTGTAGAAGATTGTTATATTTTTCTTCCTCCACTCCACAAACACATCAACCACAAGTTCTCCAGAATCTCTTGTGTGTAGATGTGCTGACCACAGGAATATGTTGTCTCAAACTATGTTTGTATTTCTTAATATTGGGACTTTTTATTTATTTTGTTAGCTCTCTGAAGCTTGTATTTTATGGATGCGGAAGAAACACAGAGCTGTTTGTTTTATTTCATTGCGTGTTTATAAAGAACTCTTACACCACATTCTTTATTCCACTCCTCTACAGATGGGACAGTTGCACTTTCCATGTGCCTCATCAATATTAAACACTGCTTCACCTTTTTTTTTTTTTTTTTACCCTATTTAGCTCTTCTGTTCTTCACATAGGAAGTCTTTTATATTTCATCTTTGTTTGGTCCAAGGTATATGAAAAAAGCACTCCGTTTTGTTGTAAGATAGAATCTTAAACAGGCTCTTTGTGTTATAATCACTCACACTGTGGTCTTTTTGTTTTTGTTTTTTCCCCAATTGCTATCTCTACACCAAGTGGTCGAGTGTCAATCTACATCAAATATCTTGTTTTTTTTTTTTTAAATCTTTTTTTTATTTTTTTAATTAAAGATGTGATGTAACATATGCATGTATATCCCTTTAAGACAGGAATGTTTGCATGCTTCTCCCTTTAGAGCTGTGAGCTTGCTTTATATGATGCTATTCGCCACGTCTTTGACATAACGTAAACCTGCTCGTGTCACATTCTGCTCTTAAGGGAGAAAAATGAAAACATCGCACCTGGTTTTAAAGAGATCCACATGTATATGTTGTATCGTGTCTGATTAGATTAAGAACTAAACGTACAATTTTTCCTCCTGAGAGACTCCGTTTCTCAGTGTTAAGGTGTGTAGGGCGTAACGGTCCAGTTATTTGCCTTGCTGAAGCGCAGTACTACAATGCTCCTGAATCACGCACAATATTTGTCTAATTTAAAGAAGCGTAGCTGTTGTAGAAAGAAGGCAGCTTGTTTGTAGGTATTCCAAACATGAATATATATTTTGACAGTGGCTATTTCTGAGCAGCTCCAAGTGTGGCTCAGATTAAGGCTGTTACTCGGGACGGTGGCATCGTCTCAGCCTTCACGTGCATTTGTACCAGTGTGATGTTTAGCTTTGGAGTGGCCTGTTGTGTGAATGTGTTTCATGCTGACCTTGAAAATGAAGGTTGTAGATTGTATATAAAATACATAATATATGTTTGGCTAAGACTTAACACGCAGACTCTGTGATCCAAAACATAACATCTTTACTATAGTTTTATCTTGAAACTGAGTGATAATATTGGGTATATTTTGTTACCATGAGGCTTATAAAAACTTGATGAACTCGGCTGGTAAGCAGGCGATGCTTTTTTATTTTTTTTAATCTTCACTCATCCTGTTGTAGTTACACATTTCCTGTGTGCTCACTGCTCTCTCCAGTCTATTGTCTATTTTGGAGTCAGTAGTCATTTTGCCAGATATTGATGTAATCCCGAAAGCAGCCAGATTTATTTGTTTTTAATTATAGAAGGTTTTTTTTTTTTCCCCCTTTCTCTGGAAAACTTTGTCAGATTCCAGCGGTCTCAGAAAGCCTTTTAGCAGCCAGACTCCTCACGCTTGTACAGTTGGGTAAATATTAATAAACCAAAGACATGCATTCTATTCTATGCATCCTACTTTTAATCTGTATGATGCTACTCTTTGTGCCTGCCTGCTGTGATTCCATCTTTTCCCTCTAAAGTCCCCCCCCCCCCAGAGTAGTGTTAAATTACCTAATCACTTGAATCCTTGAGAATCTCTTGCATAGTTCTAGAGGTCGAGATGTTCTGCATGTGTTTGGAGCTCAGTGGCGTCTTGGAAAAAAAAGCAGTGAAAAGTGGAAATTGTACGTTACTATGAATGTCTCGGTAAGTTTTCAGTATGTTTGGAAAATCATATTGTGACTCAGTTATTAGTGACTGATTTGGTTAGTTTAGACGATATAAAGTATTTATAATAAATATAGTTTCTCATGCGTTATGGATTCCACATGATGGATAACTTGAAGATAAAAGGGCCTTAATTAGCATTGCTTTATGCAGGTGTTTTATTCTAAGCTAATAAACCAGATTGCGTGTGTGCACTGTATTGGCTCCAGTTAGGAAACTCTACTCTGATTTTAATTTAATCACGATAAGCAAAATTAAAATGAAGCCAGTCAAAAGAGGTGTTTAAGTTATTGCATTCCTCCTGCAGTCAACACTGTGTGCCCTCCCCCTTCATTCCTACGAAGGCATTCATTTATAACAGTGAGTCTTTATAGTCATATCATAATCACTAAAGTAGAGCTTCGAATAGAAACTTACATTTTAAAATAGACAGGAGACTTGGTATTCTGTGTCAGGATTTCCATAATGTAAATATTTTTATGCTATTTACGCACAAATGATTGAAATCGGAGGTGGGGTGATTTTTTTTTTTTTGCAGAATGCCATCTCCGGAACAGGAAAGCTTGGAAGTTTGACTGTGCAAATGTTAAATGATTGTGATAATGCTGCTACAGTATGTAACACTGGAGCTGAAATAAACATGCAAGTGAGGAATGCTGTGTGTTTGTGTTGTTTCTGAACTAAATCAGTGTTTGCTTTGATATTCTGTTTCGTCTTTCAGATGATGGGCTTCAGCCATGCAGCATTTCTACACAAATGAAAACAAAAGAGTAAAAGCCTTGATGAAACTAAACAGGAATACACATGATTCAGATGATCCAAACCATCTTTTTAGCATAGCTAAATACCCCTACTTAGTAGTAGGGCGTGAGAAAACAATAGAATTATATGTGAACCAACCCTTTCAAGTTTATCTTGCAGGAGTTGCACAGCTCCAGTAGAGGGCAGCATAGTATCAGATAAAGGTTGTCATTGGACACATGGCCAACAACCCTCAAGGCAGAGATGATGTTGATGTGTGCTGTTACTTTGTTTAGATCCTTCATCCAGTACCCGGGTACGTAGCGTTGCTATAGTCAGTCCAGTGCTGCCGACTGTGCTCTTATTTTTGACTCAAAAAAAGTAACGTTTTCAGCCTGTGCAAGTATTTAAATTTATTTGGGAGCTAATTACTTTCCACATACTGTAAATTTAAAGTAAAAAAAGAAAAAAAGATGTAATATATTTCTTTCTTCCTTTACAGTATCCCTTTGTGCAGAACAAAATAACACAAACAGTTATGAAACAACAAACTGCATCTCTAAAAGTATCAAAGAACTCAACCAACTCTTTATTAACTTTCAAAGCTCAGTCTTTGTACTTTGGGGGTAAAAAAAGAAGTAATTTTACACCTGTATGTGTAACTGTACATTGGGATCAAATTGGGGAAAAAAAAGTTTTAATGCACATGTGTATATATTTAAAAACTTTCTGAATTTCTTCATGTCAGTTTAATATAAGTTATATGTTTTGTTTTGCAGATTGCCTAATTGATAAACCTGTTTCCTAACAATATGCCTGTTAGTTGCTCCATCACTACGCAACCTATCAACACCAACATTTCATTAAAAGTAGCTGAACACAAACTTTTTTCCCCTCATTGACTTCATATTGTTCCCAGTTATCAGGTAGTAATTGTAAGTTTTTCTCCCATATTTCATTCCTGCTGTTTATTCAAAAGCAAATACTGTATTACTTCTGCACACAGTCCAGTATACAGTAACAGAAACACAAGTGCTCTGATTATTTACTGAGATGCAGACAGGGCAGAGCTTTATTCCGACCCAACATGCCTCGGGACACGTACACTTGTGCTGTAACCCTGAAGTGTTTAGTTTTCGCCCTCGTCCACGAGTAGGTTGTTTATCTGAAGCGCACAATGAACGCCCCCCTCATCCACGTCCTCCGTCCTTGTCATATTATCTCTAATCACTTCAATCTGCAGTAAACTGTCCCACTACTTTATATAATTATCTCAAAGATAAGAAACCTGGAAAATTACTCCTCTCTCTCTCTGCTTGTCTTCCTTCTGTTTCTCAACTATCTCACACACACACACACAAACCGTTCATGCACACTCTTTGCAGCCGCACAATCAATGTTACCCATCGGATAAGTTTGATGCTGTCGTGTATCTGCTGATGGGAGAAGAAAGGCAGCTGCTCCGCTGGGTCCGTAACATGAGGGATCCAGTTACACTATCCGAGGAAGTTTACGAGTGTTCCCATGAGAAGATCAGGGCTGTTTTAAACCTCCTTATCAACTCCAGCAAATTTGTCAGACAGTCACGGCATATTGGAGCACTGACAAAGGCTGTCTTTGTGGTCAGGGTTGCTTTTCTCCTCATCTGTTAAGAAGATCTGCTTGTTTTTCAAAGCATCATTGGCCACCTTGAAGAGGACGACGACGGCTCCACGACTGCACTGCACTCATAGACCTCTAAAAAAAAACAAAAAAAAAACAGCATGAAAGCTGAAGATAAACTCTGACAGTATGTTTTGGAATTTCCGCTTGCTTTTTTTCCATGTATTAGAAAATTCATCCTTTAGATATAGAAAAAAGAGATCAGGCAGTGATGTTATGAACTCCTCCTCCCTGCTTTTCACCATTTACTTGTCAAATCCAGTTAATCCACGTGGCCCAAACAGATTTACAGACACTCCCCAAACCTGAAGAACGAAAGAGAAGGTAACAGACAAGAGGATGTTGTTTTTAAAAAAAAGTCTTGTGTGTTTGTGAGCCAATGTACCGTGTCTCTTTGAGCCTGCGGAAGTGCAGGTATTACAATGGCGAGTACAATAATAACCGTTCCCCTAACCTTCAGCTTCACCCTTCAACGAGCTCCTTTATCTGATGAGCGTGTCCATATACAGCCTGAGACACTGAGAGATACAGTCGGATTCTCAATGCCGTCAAAACAGATCCTATCTGCCCTCTTCATGTCTAATTACCTGTTCACCCTGAGGGCCTGGTGAATGGTGCAGCCGGTGGCACTGTTGATAAGAACTCACTTTAGTTTAAGGAAATCATTAAGAATCAAGATTCATGTTGGATCTTATTTCTGCAGCTTCTCCTTCAAGTCACACTGTTGATCTTTACATGTGTTTCACAATATCATCACTTTATACTGATAGAATTATTTGGCCACATTTATGACAACTGAGGTGATGAAAACTCCTTCTAGACTTCAACGCAGGAATAAAGAAAAAAAAAAAAAAAGACGATAATCTTCACTTGTTGCCCAGGTGTCTATGAGTCAGACAGGTTAGTGCCATCAAATCTCCTTCTATCGGATCCATCAGTCCTCTGCTCACACTTTGGTTATGTTACCACAAACATGCCCGTCTTAAATATGTAAAGCCCTAAATCCTGCGTGCCATCTTATCAGCCCAGTAAAGCTATACTGAGTCAGCCCAGCATACCAGCCTGCACGAGGTTACACTCACTTCTTAGGCCCCTGTCCTGGTGTTCAGGCTTTACATAAATAGTTCAAAGTTACTCAAAGTAAATAACTGTATTCTGAAAACCTAGATAACATAAGTTTAAATGATTTATGTCCGTACCATAGAGGAGAACTTTTTTGTTTGTTTGTGGAAATGATAAAAATCTTTGTAGGAAATAGTTTACACCCTGATGTTTTGCTCAAAGAGGCACACTTGGCTATCGTGAACTTGGATCCTCTTCTTATCGTTAAAACAAGCCTGTGTAAATACATTTTTAAAAATGTTATTTTCCTCTTTTTGTTTTTCTGCCCGTTTAAATAAACGAAACTCCTTTTTTTTCATATTTTACAATGATATCACTTCCTTGTATTGCAAAAGTATATGCAAGAAAGCCAGACACATCTGTTGTTGGGTTTGCCACCGGAGCTCTGATACATGCACACATTAGATCGTGATGCTCATGTGTAACGCTGGACTAGTTCGTCATCCAGCAACCTAATTGTTCACAAATCTTCTCCGCCTACAGCTCCATCAAAGCCCTCAGATTCTCCCACAGTGGCGTATTGACTGTGCCGTTTTGTGGAAAAAGTAAAGGTTGTGGACAAAACTTTGACTGTAGCAGCTCCTCAGATCTGCAACAGCCTGCAGGAGGTTATTAGTGGCACGGGCTGAGCACGAAGGCGAAGCCCGAGGCCACTTTTGTTATCCTGGTGCGTTTTTTCTTATTAGCGGCACGGGCTGAGCACGAGGCCCTACTTGTACAGAGTGCACTTGGGAAGCCATTTCAAGGGTTAAATATCTTCAGAAATATAACTTACAAAACTAAAAAAAATATAGTTGAGGACTCAAATTGTGTCCAGTAGATCCAAATTATTAAAAAAAAAAAAGTATGTGTTGGTCAGACTGATAGACAACCGTCCGTAAACAGTAACAGTAACAGTTTGTATATTTTAATAAAGAAACACAGAAGCTGCTTTTGTACAAAGTGTGACATCAAACACTTGTTTTGATTTGCTCCGACCAGTAAAATGATGTATTGAAAGATTAATAAGAAAAGACTCCCAGCTAACAGTGCTGTCAGTCTAGAGGATGGTCTGGCTGGGAAACACTAACAGGGACTGATTTGCTTTTGGAGGCAGCTTCAAGTGGATATTTAAGGAACTGCAGGTTGCTGCTAGAATAACTCTTATGCCAAATTTAGAGGAAACCTCAAAACCTGTCCTTTACAAAAAAAAAAAAGGTTAAACAGACTTTCTCTGCACATGAGACAAACACCTCGTTTCCACTCAGCTCTGAGTTCCTTCATGTAAACTGAAGCTGAAGCTGAAATGAATTATTTGGTGACAGAGACCGTCCTTTCCTTCTAGGTTTTCTCAGTTTTTAAAACCATTTTGTACATAAATTAGTACAATATATGAGTCTGCTACCCGTTGCTTTGTTAAACAATTGGTGTCGAGGTGAGACTGAATCCAAAAATGAGATTTAGTGTGATTTGTACTGTTTTAGTCATTTGAAAAAAAACACGACTTAATTGACCTGCAGCAGAAATATATAGATGAATATGAAAATAAAAACTGATGAGCGTCGGTGGGTTAGCTGTCAGCTAACAGTGTATGTGATGCATGACTTACTGCAGAGTATCCCGCCAGACCTGATTCAGAATTCTTTTGTTCCTGTACCAACATTTTATTTCATCTCCAAAACAAGACTTCCCCATTGTTCACACCTGAAGTTATCAAATGTTGAGTTCCTGTGGTAGTAAATACCTGCAAGTGCTACATAGTAGTAAGTACAGAGTGTTTGTTGTGTCGATGCTAAATCACTTACTGTTTAATATGGGGTGTAGGGTTTCAGAGTGCAACATTACCCTTTATTAAGAAAAGGAACTGGGATGGAGAATGTTACTCAACCAGAAACGCAACCAGAACACTTTAAAACTTCACTGATGTTGCAGGTTGAACAGTTTGATGAACACAGCTGTGACCTCACCTGAGGAGGGCAACACGTGATAACAAGAGCAGGCTACGTTCAATATTCAAAGCACGGATTGCATCACAAGATAACAATGTACATTCCTTATTTATCTGTGTGATTCCTGTGGTAAGGCCACACGAGGACATCTGGGAGTATAAATTTAAAAAAAAAAAAAAAGACGCACACATACCTGCAGAA